TAGGATCTGGAACTAACTTCCAAGAGCAGTGGTGCAGGCTCCTACCCTGGGGGTTTTAAGAGGAAGTTAGATGAACACCTTGCTGGGGTCGTTTGACCCCAGTACTCTTTCCTGCCATGGCAGGGGGTCGGACTAGATGATCTGCTCAGGTCTCTTCCGACCCTAGAAACTATGAAATTATGAAACTATGAAATTATGAAACTATGAAATGCCCTCATGGAAAATATGTAGGAGAAACCACACAACAACTGTGTACCAGAATGAACACACACTGAAAATCTATCAAAGAGAGGAATATGAAATTACCTGTGGGGGCACATTTCTCATAAGAAAACCACTTTCTCTCCAATCTCTCAGTTCTAATCCTCAAAGGGAATTTACAAATCACTTTTCACACACAAGCCTACAAACTTCATTTCATCAGTCTACTGGATACAAAAAAATCATGGACTAAATATAGACATTGGATGTATGACACATTATAACTTGCCAATTATCTGACTCCCCAGGTAACCTTAATTTACTTTTTACCAGCTACATGTATTCTCCTTCCCTGCCCCCACCCCCCACCTGTCTCTCACCCATTGATTACCTCAATTTACATTTTTACTGACTGGCTTCCTTGCATGCATACTGGCCTCTGGCTACTTTACTATTCCATCCAGGAAGAGCACAGACCAACTGCAGACACTTCCTCAGCCTGACAAAGGGTATCTATACCTGAAAGCTTGCAAAGAAGAATTTTTCCAACTCTTTGAGTTGGTTTAATAAAAGATATTGGATTGACTCAAAAAACCTTGTCTCTCAAACCATCATCCACTCTTGTCATCAAACCTATTGAAAAAGGTAGTGCGGGGAGTGGGTAGTGGTAGGGCATCTAAGACAATTTAATATGGACTTGCAGACCATTAGTGATCTGTGAGCCATCTTTAGGGAAAGACTGACATAAGTTTTACCTGCAAAGTGATTCTTTTGCTGCATCTCCACATGGGCTAGGCATAGCTTTTCTGGTATCTCCCTTCACAATGGTCAGATCATTGTACAATTGCTGGCATAGCTGTCAGTTAGAGGGGCTGATTTTTTTCTTATTCCAAATCAGCAGTCACATGGGAAAATCTTTGTATTGTAGGCCTGCATAAGTGAAATAACTGAATATCCCACATAACTGAAAGCTGCCTTTTCTTGTATTTATTTATGACCAAAACAGTTGGGTATCTTCATGGTGGTTGTTTTAATAAGTCACCGTATTCATAGTTTGTAATTTTCCTACTTATGTGTGGGAAGCACAGGCTGAATTCTGAAAGCAGCCATTTTTCAGGTAATTTAACTGTTAAACAAGGTCTTTAGAAAACAGTAAATGTCTCAAACACTAAATAACTTTCATTAAAAATCTTGTGGAAAAAAATAATTTAGTGCCCCTACTCAAGCAGCACACTTTGAACAACTTTGAAGAACTGAGCACATATGAGAGTGATTTTTATAGTGTTTTCTGTCATTTAGAAACTGCTGCATAAGTGCCTGGCTTTTGACAGAGAGAAAAAAAGAACAAGGCTGAGGAGTACCATTTAAATTAAGTACAGAACACAACATAGGAATCATAAGAGGCAATGACTAGCAGAGGTGCACGCTGAGGAAAATATTAATATATAAAAAGGAGAACAGAAGGGGGAATAATTTCTGCAGAGTAGACAGGCCATATGGTAGAACAGCGTATCCCTTCTGGCCCCATATTCTCTCCTTTGTTTGCCCAGAGGCTGACAGGGCCCCCAGAGGCAGGGGAGACCTTGTTACACTTGCAAATTACAGCTCAATGCAAACAGCTATACAATTAGTACACATTTTCAAGGTCTAACTTTATAGCTTGTTGGAGCTTTGTATCATGTGGTAGACAATTTGCACATGTACCTGGTCTTAAGATAATTGTGCAATTAACCAGTTAATTGCGTATTACCTGTAACATGTAAAGGGGGTCCATATAGCATTTCTCCTGTATTCTACTAGATAACTTATTTTATTCTTAAGGTTATTTTAAAAATAAGTACTTTATAGCAGTGTTTCTCCCTTTGACTCTGTTATGTTCTAAAGCACTTCACTGTGGATATGTTTAGCCTTCTCAATTACTATGTTAGGCAGCACCAGACTTGGACAAGACAGGATGTTCTGCAAGCACAGCCTCTCAGACGGGAAGTATCCTTAACAGTGCTGTTTATATACCAACTGGCTCTATCTTTCAGCAGTGACAAGAGGGTTCTCCCTGAGTGGTACTCAGCTATGATAGTGAATAGTAACATGGAAAAAAACTGAATGCACGTTTGGCCAAGCCTTCTTCTCAGAGTCATCCTAAAACTATTCCATACTAACACATCTGACATGGTTCTTCAGCACCTACGTTCCTTCCAACCTTTGTCAGTAAGCTTGAAATACAAAGCTCACTTATGCTATTGTGATGCTTCTAGTTGTGGTTAGAAACCAGCAATGAGGAAGGTGGAAAATTCAAAATACTGTGAACGTCAAACGAATTTCAGTTTTGCAACTGATTGCATTTTGGGTTAATTATTGGGGTACAGAATATTTTTATTTTTATCCAAATTGGTTAACCTATCCTTCATAAAGCAACAATTACTAGATACCTAAAAAAAGGTTTACAATAAATGTGGAATCAATAGGCCACATCCAGATGAGCAGGGAGATGCAACTGGAGAAGCACAAATAGTAGTGGCACAAATTTGTGCTGCAGTGCATGCCCATGCTTTATTGCAGGACACATTGTCCTGCTGTGGGCAAACTGCTGTTGTCCAGCTCCTCCTGGCTCCTGACATGCTGGAGCAGCCAGGGCACAAACGGAGCACAGAGATGTTTTGGCCAGCAGCCAAAGCATCTCACTGGAGGACCTGGCCTCCGTTTGTTCCAGCGCACACTATTGTAGTGTTGCCGTGCTTCTTTTTTCCTGATGTTTTTATTTGCTACTGGGAAATCTGGGTAGCAAATTTTGCCCCAGTGCTGGGCATATTTTAACATTCCATGCATGCCGTTTGTAGTGCCACAAACTGCACAGCCCTGCTGGTCTGGATGCGGCCATGGAGTTTTTCCTTAACAGTCTTTATAAAACAGTAAAAAACATATAATTAGAAAAAAAAGAAACCTCCTGTTATAATGTAAATGGAATTATATAACTCTCAGATAATAAGGGGGAAAAGTACAAGTGCAAAGAAACTGGGAAAAGAGAAAATATTAGAATGCAAGAATTTGGGAACACAGAACACAATTTGCCTATTACTGCATGGAAGAATAATTTAAGTATAACATTGTAAACACCATATATCTTCATTTTGAAACCACTCATGACTACTAACCACCTTCCTTTAACAGTCATCATTTCACCATTCAAAACATGGGAAAATAATTACATTTAATAAATGCTGCCCTAATTTTGAAGCTACTTTTGATTTAAAGCTAGAAGGGTAGCTAATATAATTTACACAGAAACTGTGATTTCCATGCCAATTTATGTGTATATGTTTTCTCTCAAATAAAAATACAGTACATGAGAAAGCTCTCAACTTGTTAGAAATAAAAACACATAGTCCTAAAAGCTGTCCAGTTGGTGTCTAAGGACAATAGGAACTTTATATTTTCAGTATCAGGGCTTTTATATACTGAGTTTATTATTTATCAGCATTCATATATTATTTAATGTTCTTTTAATTGTTACTCTTAGGGTTATCATTTGGAACAAACCTTTGTTTTTAATAGTTTGTAATACATGAGAAAATATTCTGATTAACAGATTTCTGAACTGATAATAACAATTATTTGTTATAATAGGATTATATTAGACAGACTTTGACTTATATTAGCTTTACCTATATAACAAGTTAGTCAATTAAGCACAATGGGATTTCTTACTTGAGTGGATAGAAAGGATATGCAAAGGTTATAGAGAAGTTAACATTTAGAACAACACATAACATTTACATTTAGTTGTGCATTTTATTACCTTACCTTCAAAAACTCTAAGAACCTCTTGTTTGATATATTTTTTTATTTCTTCAAATGAAACTGCATTAGCCTGGTAGAGAAACAAAGAAACATAATTTATCTAAAATTAAGGGGGGAAAGCAGTCCAAGAGTACATCTACGATGCTAGCAAACAGATACTGTTACTGACACTGAATATATAAAACAATTATACAAAGCTTTCACTGAAATACTGAAAAGAAGCTGAGGTACTCAATTAATGGTAAAGGCTATTTTATTGCAAGTACAGATCATATTGCTAATATAATTAGACATAAGAAGAAATATTTTAGCTATAAAGTAAAATCAGAGTACTTTATGTATACTTTACTTATGTATTTATTTGATTTATATGCTGCTCTTTCCAACAAAGGCTGAGAGTGGCTGACAATAAGAGAACAGGATTGTGACAAGAGAACAAAACAAAACTACAAAACAATTCTGAAGGGAGCTAGAAAATCCATATACAACAGAGCTCTGCCAAACAATATCTCTAAGTTTATACATGTTTAGAACAAGTTTGTCCCTATCAGTTTGTGACAGCCTTATTCAACATCTCAGCTTTTGATGTTGAGCTGTTGAATAAGGCTTCCATTTCTCTCTCATGCTTTCTGTGTCATTTGTGAAAGCTATTTCTTGTTATGTTTTATAGCATAGCATCTAGCACCATAAACCCCTCTTACTGTGTTAGAGACTAATGACTTTCATACATATAATAAGTAACAGCAATAAGAATAATATTGACAGTGATGGGATGATTATCTGATTGAAGGTGTCTGACAATTTAGTAAGATTTATGGCATAAGTATGCATGGAAAGAAATAAAGGTAGTGAATGGAAAAATATAGTGTCAGGAAATATTTTAGTGTCCTTTTTAGTTCTTCTGTTTATGAAACTTTATTTATAAAATTAAGCAGATTGAGGAATTGGCTCTTCAAGTTATAGCAAGTGATTATTTAACTGAAATTAATCTAAATTTAGTCTAACAGAAGTAACCAAAGTCTACATATAATATGGAAGGAAGGAGTCTATATCCAATGAGTCAAACACTTCTCTGTTTTTTTTTTCTTTTTGACAACCAAGCATTTAAACAACTCGAAGCACCTTAAGTATTTGTGAACCTTTGTCTGGGTATATACAGTTTAATTTCCACTATTCAGTACATGCTGTATTTGTATCTAGTGGCTTCACCAGCAACCAGTCAGAGGTCTTATTTTCTTACCGGAAGGCCTGGAAGACCTGGTGAACCAGGAGGGCCTTGATAACCTGGTGATCCTGGGTAGCCTCTGTCTCCTGGTGGTCCGGTAGGTCCTGCAATCCCCTTTTCTCCTGTAGGTCCAGGTTTTCCTCTTTCACCTTGTGGACCTCGGTCCCCTGGAATACCTTGATCTCCCTTTTCAAAATAAGAGGCATGGAAAAAAAAGCTTTATATTTATATAAATATATATTACTAATTATAGTTTCTAATCAACCTTTAGAAGCTGGTGAAACTCAGTCAAAAATTCTGAGGAGAAACTTCTTTCCCAAGCAGCACTGAGTTTATTAGTAAAGGGAAAATGCAGGAAAAATAATTTTAGGAACTTATTTTTTCTTCTTAAACAACAGGAGACAGTATTCCTTCTTTCATATTTTTAAAGTTTATAATCAATGACAAAGAACATATTCATAGACTTCAGAAAGATGAAACTCAGGTGGTATTAGGTTTCAGCTCTAAGATAAGGAAATAAAATTAAAATTTCTTGGAGTATTACATTTTCTTTCTACCTACTGAATTTCTATAGCCCCCACTGACACAGTATTTGAGCATCCTACAATATCAATTAAACCTGACAGCATCACCATTAGGTAAGGGACTGTTTATAGATGTGGAACTGAAGCATAAAATGACTACAGTTCAGGTCCACATAAGGACTTAGGCACTTAAAACTGTAAAGTCCCTAAGTTCCTATCTCATGGGGACTTCTCTTCTTAAGCTGCTCGTAACACAGCAGTACCAGTTCCTCCAGTCCAACAGGAGGCCCTGGCAACTCTGGAGGAGAAGAAAAGAGAGGAGGCAACCGGAGAGAAGGCAACTCCATGCTCTCCATGATCCGAGCAGGCCGAAGGAGCTAAGCAGGCCAGGAGGAAAAAGCGTCGAGTGATCGTCATAGGTGACTCCATCCTGAGAGGT